GGGATGATGCCCGCTGCCGGTGGGGGCGGCGTGACGATGGCGGACTCCACCCGGATTGGGTGAGAGTCCGTCGTCAGCATGTCGATCACCTCGTTGATGATGAACGTCGCCTGGCTGAGGTGGGTTTCCGTGGCGCCTTGCATGCGGATCGTGACCTCGGAGACGGTCTCCAGGAGACTGCACACCTCGTTGGTGACGGTCCACTCGTGTGCAGTCAGCTTCCGCTTCAGCTGCTTGTTCTGGGAGTTCTGCTGGGCTAGTCGCCGGAAGTACTCGCTGATGGGCTTCTTCAAGATCAGAAGGCGACCCATCATCTTCTGCTGGCTGGTCCACCTTATTTTGCGCGACGGGGGGGAGTGGTGCGGTGTGGCGGAGGAGTCCGTTTTTTGCAGTCGTAAGGGACAACAAAACCACCCGCGCGTCTTTATCGCTGCAAGCCATGAACAGAAAGAGATCTTTCCGTGCGATGCTCTGGTGAGGACTGTTTTTTTCAGTTTGTTCTGTTTTTGTTGAATGTTTTTGTTTTGCGCATTTTGTTTGTACGGAGAGAAACGAAAAAAGGAAAGGAAAATGACAAAAGAGGACGCAAGCTGTACTCAGCGTCGAAATACCCTGGAAATACCAAATACCAAGATACCACAAAGAAAAAAGAAAAACGATAAACAAAAGATCAGCGGTGACACAACGCAAACGAAACGGAACCACGGGAAAGCATCCCCAGCAGCACACCTAGTGTCGTTTCGCCGGATGGTCTCGTAGATACGGTGAAGATCCGCCTCCAGCCGCTGGAGTTCCTTCAGCATGTCGTTGTTGACAGCAGAGTGGCTGAAGACACCGACCAACGCTGCCAGCTTCTTCATCGGCTTGTTCTTGCAAGTCGTCGCAGAACCCGCAATGCCAAGCGCCCACAGTACCGCGGAGTTGACGCGGTGGCAGTTGCACTCGACGACCGGGACTCCCAACGCCGTACACGCGTTCACGACGTTTTTCCCTTGATCCACCGTGAACGCGAGGAAGACGTCCTGAGACTCGACCGATCCCCCCATCAAGTCCGTAAAGTACTCCAGCGTGAGCTGTGAATAGCGAGGCACGCAACAACCGACGGGACGTAATATAGACAAACATCAAACGAGAAGTATCACATACGCAGCAGCGATCACGTCAAAACACAACGAAAACAGAAAACAGGATACGTACCAGCCTGCTTATTTTTAATTTTGAAATTTTACTTTCAAACAAACTTCAAAAGCTGTTCGACGAAAGACAGTACCAAATAAAAAAGCTAACCTTGGAACAAATACGAGCCAGAAAACGAAACAAAGAGACGGTGTACAATACTCAGTTATTATGTTTGAATGTATTGTCCACCGAACAGCCCCGACACACAAAAAAAAGGCTCACCGCTTCGATCCAGGGTTTGATGTCGTCGGCAGTGTGGCTGCCCGGAAACGCTCGTGTCGCAAGCGACACACGACTAACATCCGTGTCACCCTTTTTGACGTACGACACGGCGAAAGTGATGTACTCTTCGCCGGCCACAGTCGTGAGATCTAGCTGGGCACCAAGGAAAGCTCCGCCATATCCCATGCCCAGACACTCCTCGCGCACCGACCGCAAGTCGTCCACGACAGCCTGCTCCACCCTGTCGTGCAGCGTGTCCAGCAACTTGTTGAAGGTGGTGGAGGCCATCGTGGTGTCGACGTACTGGGGTGACAGAGCGCCCACGAAGAGCTTGAAGCCGTCGTCGTACCGCATCTGCATCGGCCGCGGGTTGATGCAGCACCAGATCACGTAACGGAGGTCGACAAACTCCCTTTGCTTCTGTAGCATCTTCGGTGCCACGAACTTGAGCATTGAAGATTGAGCTGCGCCTGCTGATGTACCCGCTGTGAAGAAACGAAGAAACAAGAAACAGCAACGAAGAAAACAAGAAACGACGAAACGAAAACCAAAAATCACAAACAAGGAAAACATGAAAAGATGAAAAGATTATATTCGTTTTGCATATTCTTCTTCATTCACGCATTATTAATCATATTAATAATTAATCAGTGTAAGAAATAATCAATTGCAGTATTATTATTATATTGATTTTTTATTTTATATTTATTTCCTTTGTTTACGCAAGCAATTACAAATATCTACATATACACTTCAAATATTGCATTCCAAATAATAAAATAATTACTGTTTTACACCCAGCAACCCTATACGTGAAGCACATCATCCACTATTATCTACTCGTACATAAAGAGTACTCCGTATATTATTGAAAAAATAAAAATAAAAAATGATTACACTCACCAATTGCCGCTCAAATGGGGGCTTTCCGCTCCTCCTCGGTGCCCCTCTCCTTCTTCGCGTCCTTCATCTCGTCCGGGTGAACCTTTTCGAGGTGCTTGGTCAAGCCA